GAGGCGGGGGTGGTGGGGTGGCCTGTCTATCAAGGATAAATAGCATGCTATCAAGAAGAGTGTACGAACTCAAAATCTCCCAAAGGCACGGCCATCAGATCCATTCCAACTAACAGGAAAGGGCAGAAGTGCCTCACCCTGTGGGTTTCTCTCCGGGAGAAATGGTCATTTCTACTTGCTGACCTTGTGGTTAGCAGTCGATGCATAGCCTGCCAGGCCACCGAGGCCCTCCGGGTATGTACAAAGGACACACAAACCATCTTGGTGTGTAGGGAGTACGGAAAGGTGATGGAAAGAGAGGAGGGGAGTTCCCCTTGTTAAGAGAGCTAGCTGCATTCAAGAATAGACTTAATTATACATAAGTGGAACCCACTCACCATTTGACTATTTTAACAATGACCCACTGATATGCAAGTTAAAATATTAGAGATAAAAGGGAAGATATTCAAACAAAACACCGAGGGTCCCTTTAACCTCTGAAGATTCCTACAAAGGCTATCCAGCAGGAATCTAATAGAAACTGCATAACTGAAGGACAGTCCTTCTCTCCTCTCCCTCTCCCTCCCTAGTGTGGACGCCTCAGGTAGCTATTTTAAAAGCTTTAGGAATTCCATTTCTACTTTACACGTCAGATCGTGCTGAGGCGTTTTCCAATAAGCAGCGTCACCAATCTTTTTAGCAAATACAGTATTTTCTTACATTTGGCCTGGGACAACACTGCAAAATTAAACTGCAAACAATTTTCTACACAGGAAGACTTCCAAATGATTACCATGGAGGTATCATTGAGGAAGCCAGTACCCTTACTGGGCTTGTGTAATTTGCATTAGGGAGAGGGGATCAAAGGATACCAGGATGGTGACCCCACTTCCACCCCTCAGTCTTCGGCGAAATGATTCACTATAAATTGGTACTTCTGGAAGGAAGAGGGAGAAATAGGCTGGTCACTTGGGGGAAAAGTGCTTATAAAACCTGCTATCGAGTGCCCTGCTGAAGAGTGTATTTTAGTCAATGGTTGGGTTTGGCACCTGTGTCCTGAAGAAAATAGACCAAGAGTGGTGCCCTTTTGCAAATTGACTAAGTGTGACTTTTGCAGGTGTCAGTACAATCAAATGCAGTGGGTGACGGGGAGTGTGCAAATAGCAAAGGGCTATCTCACTTTGGGAGCCTGGTGGCTCAGTGGGTGAGTGTTCAGCTGGCACCCTAAAGGTTGGCTCTTGAGACCCACTAGGGAAAAGACGAGGTAGACTGCCCCCAAATCTCAGTCTGCCCCCAAATCGCCATCTTGGAAGTCCTATGGGGTCCTCTAGGGATCACCGAGTCAGAATCAATTCGGCAATGGCAACAGGTATTTCCATTTCATTGAGAAAACTTCTCAAAATCCAGCTGTCAGTAATAATACCAGATGTGAGCAGAAATTCAACCAGGCTTGCCTTAAGTTTTCATCTTTGATGATTTTGATATTTTTCTCTTTTAAATAAAAATTCATGCTATTTATTTTCTATTGCAGGAGTTTTCTTTTTTTCAGAACCATCCTTCTTGCCCCCCTCTTTTGAAAATTAAATGGGGAAAAGACCAATACATTTTCCCTTGCCTTCAAATTATGAGCAGCTTTCATACATTCATCTTCCCCCAGAGGAATTAGGTAAACAGAGTAGGAAATGTTTATCAAGCACTCTGTGACAAAAAAAATCGCTCCTTCAATTATTAGTAATAATCTATGTCCCTGTCACACATTATTCCTTTGGTTTGTCAAAGGCTCAGGCTTGCGAAAATATCCCTCTGGCCAGTGCTCAGTAAAGTTTGCTTATTGAGGTTTTTTATCAGTGTCTCACTATAGGTGATTAGAGCAAGTGCATCCAAGTGATCTAGTTAATTTGTAGAAAACAGAATCCATTTCTCTTGTTTCATCATGATGGAACATTTTTCTGAACTCCTGCAAGCGAGTAACAGATAAGCACTATCTATCAGATTGTTCATGGAGCACGCAGTTTTGATTATTCCATTTTCTTGTTGCTGCTAATGAAATATGTAATATCCTTCAAGGAAGAAAAAATTTGAAAAGCTGAGTCTATGAACATTGGCAAGTGATGAATCCATTTTGCACCCACACTGTTTTCTAATCGCTCTCTCTCTTTCCAGGAGCCCTGGGAGGGTAGCCGGCTTGTGTTCTTGGGCATCTAGGGTGTTTTCCAGACTTCCATCTCCAAGAATGGGAGAATCCAGATCCAGGTTTGCAAGGACACTTTGCTCCACAAACAGCTCTTAACTCATTCACTGCCTTGGACTCCATTCTGACTCACGGAATTGCACCCCTCTCCGTGGTTTCAGAGGCTGTACATCTTTATGGGAGCAGTTAGCTTCCTCTTTCTCCAGTGAAGCCCCTGGTGGGTTCGAACGGCCCACTCTGTGGCAAGCGGCTGCACTCAGAACCCAATTCCCTATGGGGTTCATAATCTCCATGAGTTTATTGAGGAACCTTGACACCTGCATTCTGGGAAACCGAGGAACCCTTCTTCCCTCCAGTGTCCCAGGGTCAGAGACAGGCATTTAGAGATGAATCTTTTCTACTCCTTCCACCCTCCCTCGCCATCATCAGGCCTGGAAAAGAAAATAGGCGGAGAGCCACAATGAAACCGGATTCATGGAACCGGATTTATGGAGCCGCATGATCTTCCCGAGCCGGCAACAAGTCTATGCTTAAGACAAGGGCAATGGTGGCCGCCAAAGCGAGAGCAGGGATGCAAAATGCAGGTGAGTGGGAGATGCTGTTACAGCAGCCTTTGCCCCTTTGCCTGTTTGCTCTTTTTTTTCCTTTTTCCTGACTTGTAAATGGAAGACGTGTTCAATGACCCCTTCCTAAGAACAAGCCATTGACTTTTAAAAGGGAGGTCATTAGGCCTGACAGTGGGGGAGGAGACTGGAAGGTAGGATGGCCACTATCCACTATCCAGGCCTCCAAGACACCGCCACCTTGCACCGAGAGGTCTGACTACAGGAAGCCAAAGCAGGGGCTGTGGGAGATGGATGGGCTGGAGCCGCGGAGCTGACCTGGATGTCACCTCCCCCTCACTTACCAAGGTCCATGCTCTTAGAGGCTTTCAGATTAATTGATTCAGGCTGCCTGGCCGGTGTCGCAGATCTGCAGTTGATGTGCTGGTCTGGAAAACATACTGCCGAATCCACTCCAGAGCTGCGGAAAGAAGCCAGGTGCCAGGTTTAGGCTTAGATAAGGTCTTTTAAATAATAATAATAGTAATAATAATAATAATAAAACCGTTCTCTTCTTGGGACACAAACCCCCATCACTCTCAGCAACTAGCAACCATGCATTTTAAACCAATTCGTGAATCTCGTGACTCTCAGGCTGCAACAACTGTTTTCATCACGCCCTACAATTTAAATAAAATATTCTCTGGCTATTATCGTGTTTTCCTCCTCACTGGTTTCTGCTAATTGGGATCTGACTGTACAATATATAACTTTAACTGGGGATGGTGAGCTTGGAAAGCACTGGTATTTGAGAGGAAGCCAGCGGATACCAGCAGAGACCCCCACAAGGTAAAGACATTCTCGGGGGAACCGAGTTTGCCCTTCCTTGAGCAGCAAGCAAAAGGGTCTGTGCTCTTCAGGGAAACTCAGCCAGCTGCATGATGGGTGCGGCGGCTCGAGTCTATCCTATCTGCACATCTGCTTTCTAAATCTGAAGCTAATGCTGAGCCAGTAGCCTGTTCAGCAAGAATATCAGAATAAAATAACAGAAAAAGTACAGTTGACAATTTAGACACAAAGCCCACAAAATGCCCTGATAGGTTTGCTGGTACTTGCAGCTGATCTCTATTTTCTTTCTACTGAATATCTCATTTATTGACTTGGAATTGGAAGGGATTATAGAAGAGGATTACAGATAGTGCCTTATATAGTAGTGTGAGAATAAATTATATATGTCCACTTTTTAATAAATGACAGTTGCCACTTTCTTAATACTCTCATATGTTTAGAAAGTGAGTAGGGTAGATCATTTCAACATACTATCTAGGTATCACATGTCATGAAAACACAAATTAACAAGCATCCTTTGCAAATAGAACAGACTGAACATTGAGTTTGTCATGTAGTTTGGTTTCATACTTTAAAAAAATGCATGGACTATTTTGAACAGCAGCCCTTCTAAAAAGAACAAGTGATATTAGCATCTTAACCCACTAGCATAAACCAAATTATGTTTAATCTTTTCTGGAAACGCATTTTCATATCTATTTATAACAGTGCCTTAGAATGCAGCAGGTGCCCTGGTGGCAGAGTAGCTAGCCGCTGGGCTGCTAACCACAAGGTCAGCAGTGTAAAACCACCAGTTGTTCCACAGGAGCAAGAAGAAGCTTTCTATTCTAGCAAAGCACTACCGCCTCAGGAACGCACCAGGACAGTTCTTTGACCCACAGGGTGGCTGCAAGTCAGAACTGACTTGATGGCAGTGAGTTTGCGCTTTAGAATTCAGCAATACGAACATCGCTGAACGTCAGAATGAAATGAGCCTCCACTCTTGTAATCAGTACAGTGCAGATTCGGGAAATGCCGACGAGAGGTGGCGCAGCATCATGCTCATGAGTCTGAGCCAGAGGGAGGCTGCATTACATTAGGGCCTGTGGGGTTCATTCAACTCATAAGGACCCCACTCAAGGCCCAGTGGATCTTCCCCAGAGGGACTTCTAGACTGAAATCCTTTGGTGGATAGACCACCTGGGCCTTTACCCTGAGAAGTTGCTGGCTGGGTTTGAACTACCCAACTATTGGTTAGCACTCGAGCACTTAACTATTGTGCCCCCAGGAGCCCCCTGGTTCTAAATCTTGACTCTGCTGTTTACTAGCTGTAAGACCTGGGCAACTGAGGACGCCAGAGTGCTTCAAATTCTTTGCATACGTGCATATGCACACTTTGTACATCAGTGTTGTTAGGGGGCAGGAGGGAGTTAGCTTTGGTAAAAGGAGGAGAACCACGTCTGGTGTGGAGCAACAGCTAGGGAAGCATTCTTTAAAGAAACAGCAGAGAAATAGATAAAGCATTGTTTTCAATTCCCAAATGACTATAGGTTTCTGAGCTTTTTGGAGTTCTTCTGTGTGTTATTCACGTTCTTGGTTTTTCTCATTTGGTCAGATCCTCGGTACGGCAAACTTACTGCTATCAAGTTGATTCCACTCATAGGGACCTTGGGGATCACAGTAGAACTGTCCTGCAGAGTTTCCTAGGCTTGAAATCTTTATGGAAATGGACGGCCAGGTCCTTCTCCTATTGAGTGGGCTAGTGGATTTGAACTGTCACCCTCTGGTTAGCAGCTGAGCATTGTCAACACTCAGCCACTGGGGAACCTAGATTCTCAGTAGGCTTGTATTAAAAACAAACAACTCTTCTCTCCTTCCAATGTGAAAGGCAATGAATAATCTGTTGAGGGCCCTGAACTGTTGCGCAAGATGCCAGGGCTCTTTAGCCTCTGCTTGCTCACCATACAATACACGGAACTAGAATTAGCCCACAATAATGGAAAGGATTGAACAAGTTCAGGTAAGCTATGTCCCGAGGAGAGTGTCTAACATGCAGGAAGAGCTTAATGACCTCGAGTTCTAATGATCTTTATCCTTATTTCTGGGTGGTCTTTCTGTGCGAGCTTCACTTTCCTGTGGAGTGAGTGTATGTTTTCATGAAAGTTTCTCAGGTTTAGATCCACATTTTCAAGTTAAGACACCCCCCCCCCCTTTGGGGTCTACCTTATTGGCATCTGGCTATATTTTCAGTACATGAAGTTACATACATGTTCCATCTCTACATACAGTATATTAGAAATGGTCATTCCATTTTTATACATAGGTATCTAGTGATGCTTCAATATACCAGTTATGAACAGAAAGCCTTGGCCCCATTAGAGTTGAGTTATTGACATTGCCCTGGCATAACGACAAGGCCCTAATTGTTTTTCAGCCCCTTTTCAGAAATCTGAGATGCTACTAGGTTAAGGTGACCAGATTTTAACACTGGTAAAGCGGGACACCATTGATAAAACTCACATCCTGGCGAAATAGCCACATGGCAGCCGGAAACCAGATACGCTAGCTTGTTGTACATTCTTTCAAAAAATCAGGACATTTTTAAAATGCCGCCGGACATGGGACAAATTGGTCAAAATCAGGACTGTCTCGCCAAAACCAGAATGTCTGGTCACCTTATACTAGGTACATGAGCATCTCTGTGAGCCCTAATCTTTGGGGGGGGGGGGCACTTGTCTTGAAATGTGTTGTTCGACCTTTATTTGCACTTAGCTTTTCATCCTTTGATCCCTTGTGACACTGTGGTTTGAGTGCCAGAAAGACTCATGGTCTTCATAGAATCAAAAAAGTTAAGAGCCAGGGGGCGGGGTGGTGAGTAAAGGTCACCTTCTGAATCCATGTGCCCTCCATCTTTTAGATAAGAGCGGGAGACCAAAGGGGACGTCTGTGCCCCAGGTCTCGCAGCTGGCCAGCAGCAAAGCCAGGGTCAGAACTTTGGTTCCTTTAACTCTTCCCAGAGTCATCTGTTTTGGCTACAATGGTGGCCAATCTGAGGCACAGGTTTGTGACCAGATCCTGGCTACGCAAAGCCAATGCAGGTTACCTTTTTGTTTCCGTGGAGTGGTGGACACTATTAAATGAGAGAAATCAGTAGAGGTAATATTTGATCAGGCAAGCCTTCAGGGAAGAGGTTTAGGATCAACATTGATTAATTACACTACACTGATAGCGCTTGGCTCAAGGCAGACTATGGAGATCTACTCCAGTGAGGAGTGTCTTGGTTATCTCAAGCCCTTGACTTTGATAACTTCGTCAAAATTAGATATTCATTGGCACAGTAAGAATGAGAACTTAACATTTCCCCCAAATCTTGGGAAATAACTATTCCTGCTTCCCTTCTAAAGCAAAGCACACAATGCCCATTAATATAGTAATCTCAAGTTAGGATTTGCTTAGATACAGTCCATTTATTTACATGGGGGTTGGCAGGTTGGGGCGTGGGGAGGGGCTTCAAAAAGTTAAAATCATTTTTTTCCATGAACTTTTGAAGCATCCTCATACAAATGGGGATATAAATCAAGATTGATCAGAGGAAAATAATGCTGACTCATAATATAAAAATAAAGAATATAATTACTCAGTTTGAGAATATTTTAGACATGTATATTTGGGTAGCAAGAGCTTGGAAATTGTATGCGATGTATCAAAGGTTTTGGGAGTAAAACGATTAATCATAAGATATGCCATGTTTCAATTTGAAGGGAGTTAGCACGAGCTCATGGCTGAGTACCCTTCGGCCGAGGCTGTGGGCAGCTGCAAGTTGACAGCAGGCCAAAGACATGTCTTGGATAAAGGCAGGGTTTTCAGCATGAACAACCAGGGAATCTATCAAACAGAAACGATGCTCAGTGTCAAATTATACTGCATAATGAATAAATAAGGGTAGCACGAAACACATGCCAGTGGCCTGAGTCTGGTGACAAATCAGGAGTGTGGAAGACCTCAGATAACCAGCGATAAATGTTCTTAACTAAGAAGCCAAGGCAAGACAAAGGGCATGCCAAGGCGGGTGGGGCTGGGGTGGGGGAGTCACAATGGAAAGGTGGATCAGATCTAGCAACTGGCTGGAGGGAGTGAGAGTCAGTGCAGGCCCTGGGGGTGATAGGAAGAGACAAAAAGGGTAAAACAGGGAGCTATCGATAAAGACGTAGATGTAGATATAGCTATGATGCAGATATAAATATAGCTCCTGAGAGGAAAGGAAGCAGGGAAGGAATAAGCACAAGTCTAAGTGGTGAACTAAATGCAATACACTGTCTGCTGATGAATTGTCCTAAATTCACTCTGAGATTTTACAGAATGGAGAAACCACAAAGATATATCTTTTATGCTTATTTACTTTTTGGTATTTACACATGCAAAATGCAAAACCTTTCTTTCTCTAATAGTTCTTTGTGTAATACAACTGACAGATTGTTTACCAAATAGTGCAACTGATGATTTCCTCTGGTTGAAAATGCAGGCATGAGGTTTGCTCACATGTGTTGTACACTTCTCGGGCAGCGGGGGTGTTCTGCTTGGCCAGACTGACCGTCCCTGAAGCACCACTTTTCCCATTTAGAGTGTTTTTCATTTCTTTTGAAAGACAGCACGGTTGTCTGTGCTCACCCCTCCTGGCTCCCTTTCAATCCTTCTCCCATCCCAAGTTTCACACATCCAAACCCCGCTGCTGCTGGTCACCTAGCAACACAGCAGCTTGCAGGAGAGTGTAGGTCACAGAATCCCAGGAGGGAGAGAAATTCATGGTGTTCTGACTTGTTCCTTGCATCTTAAAACTGCCTTTTGGCTCTGTCCCCGCCTTTCCAGCCACGCTGCTTCTCCATTTGTGCCCTTCTCTGCTCTTGCTAGTGCCCATCCACTTCTCCTTCCACAGAGGGAATTCTCTCAGCCTGGTATGGTCACTTCCGGGCTTGAAATCTTCATGCTCAACCACTGCTCTCTGGAACAGCCTGCTGCTCACCCAGCATGGTAGTCAGGGCACTTCCTGCCATTCTCTCCCCACCAGCCTAGGCTTTACCCACAAGGAAAATGCCATGCCTTCCCCCTTCATCCTTTTCCCAGAAAGTTCTTTTCCATTCTCCAAGAAACATTGCACATCTGACTTCTACAAATCCTTCCTTATGCATCGGGGGAAGAATGGCTGGCTCACTGCTCTGGGATCCCATGATATGCTGTATCTGATGCGTAGCGTGATGGATCCGAATTATCCAGGCACCATTCCCTTTCACAGGGCAATGCCTTTCTGGAAGGCAGGGGTACTTCCTAATCCAGCATCTGGGTCAGAGCTCCATCAAGAATTTGGAATGGATGAGTAGTCAGCAAGTGCAGTTGAGAAGAGAAGAAGGAAAAAGTCCCCCAACCCCATATTTTTCACTGAAAGGAGATTACTGTTGACCCTTAAGAAAGCAATTCCAGTAGAGTGGTTTGACCGAAAGACTACCCACAGGGGATTGGTGAGGAAAAGGGTGGATAAACAAAAGCACAGAAGTTACGCCTTCATACCGTAGAATGGAAATCCACAGTAGTGAGGACCAATAGAAGCATTCTTTCATGATCATGGAGGAATGGGCTTGGCTCAGTAGGGAAGAGAAGCAATCCTCGGCAGGTACAGAGCAAAGTGGTCCAAAGGCCATTGCTAAATCCCAGTAATTCCATCTCGGCACTGTGTCTGCACTACATCTCTCATCTAGAAGCTTCCCTCTATCTCTAGCCTCCCCAACACAGGTCTCACTGTCTACCCAATGACACCTGTCATCCTTGCACTCTGGGCTTTATCCCCTGGCCACCCCTCCATGTTTCCTCTGTCGGTCTTTCTTTCTGACACTCTTATCCTTCCTGGTCTTATCTTTGTCCAACTGCTGTCTATCCTTTAAAACAGCCCCAACGCTACTTTTTGTCATAACAGTTTTTCCCGATTTCACCATCTGGAAGCATCTCCTTTGTCCCAGATGCACAGAGCGTTTTATTAGTATATTCTGGTAAATATTGTACCATCTGATTACTTTGACTCATTAGCCTCCCTGTCCCTTGGGGCCAAAGTTTCTATCTGATTCATCTTTATACAGTCCCAATGGCTTTGTAAATATGCAAAGCATAATCAAGAAAGTAGGATCAATATAATTATTTTTTTAAATGGATATTTTTTGAATGCCATTGAACTGTCCATTTTGATACACAGGACAGAAGCAGAAAATGAGAACAAAGGAATATTAATTATGTCCACAATTTCTTTTTTTTCATTTAATTTTATTTTTTCACAATTTATTTAAGAACCTCACAGAGACACTGATCTAGAACATTATTGTGACAATCAATCTAGTTGGTGAAATTGTGCTTGAGTAAAATAATTAACTTCTAAAATATAAGAATCAGAGATGGCTAAATATACATACACTTCCATCTATAGAGTTAGTGATATCCTTGTGTTGCTTTATTTTTAGTGGATTTTATTTAAAAAGCATAATAGAAATGACACTAGCATTGCTGAAAGAAAAACGAAGAAATTTCACAGCACTATCATGGGACACAAAACGGAATGAAATATACAATTTTTAGCAGCCATAATAAATACAGAAAATAGCAAAGGGACAATTTAATGATTTTTACAACTCATCAGAAGAACAAAATCTATGAATTCCACTAGTCAAATGGTGTGTATGCTTAGTAAATCTCACTCCCTCATGCTTGTGTGATTCTAAATATTATTGATTTTTTTAAACTTTCTATTACAGAATGAATATAAAATCGGATCCCCTTTTCAATATTTTCAATTATATATGGTGTTACTTTGATTTTGAGGTTCCATTAACTTTCTTGGTACATGTGTTTGTAAAATACCTATAGGGTATGTCCATTACAAAAAAAAAAGGGGGGGGGCAATCCCTGACCTTTATGTTTTCTCAGTTTTGTTTCTAGCTTCCCCTATAACATTTCTTTGAACACCACTCTTCCAAGTTGTCATACTCATAAAAGAAAATGCAAAAATTTCTTATGTATTTTAAATATAAAAGATGAATCCAAGCAAATTCCAAGATGCAAAACATCAGCAAATCTAATCTATTCGTGGCAGCATCTTCACTGGAAAGGAGTTATGGGCATCGTGAGATTTCCACCTAAGACGGCAGGTGAAAATAAAGTTCCTGAGATTTCCACCTAAGACGGCAGGTGAAAATAAAGTTCCTGGTTCCCCTCGGAAAAAAGACAATCCTCTAACAGGTTACAGTGATGGTCCGTCATTGTATTGATACCTGTGGCTGTAGTCTTCAAGGCCCAATTCCAGATTGGGATGTGGCGGTGGAGAAGGTGGGACTTCACTCTCGGTCCATCTCTCCCCGTGAAGCAATCGCTCTATAAACAAAGCACAAGGGATCTGTAGTAAACCGCGGCGGAAACTCTCAGCGCCTGGTTTCGTGTCAGCCTATCTCACGGACCGTCCTGGCGCGCATGCTAACAAGGTAGCCTAGACGGAAGACAGACTTCTAATGGGATGGAAGCCACTCTAGGAAAGCAGATGCAAACCTTGGGGGGAAAGCCAGGCCTGCGGGGTGATGTTCACACTGGTGCCCTGACCTGCTGGCGACCTCTGGCAGGTCAGCTCGCTGCATCTTGACCTTGTTTTCCCACCTGTGTGGGACTGACACGTATTCATTACTTGTGACTTGGGGGAACGCCAGGAAGCCACCTCTTTGACCGCTTAACATTTCTGTAAATGAGACTCCACAGTGAAATCTCTGGATTACTTGGTGATTTAAGCGTCTGCCTCGATGACAAAATTATTTTCCAAAAAATCTTCAATTTCAAGGTGTCCATTCCCCATTTAGACACAGTGACAGGGACATTTTTCCTTTCCTCCTTTTTTTCTCAACTGTGCTGTCATGGAAATCCTGGGAATGGGGCCAGGCAAGCCACGCCAATGAGTAAGAGTCATTGGGGTGCTAAGTAAGGCTTCGGGAACAAGATCGCTGTGTTCCCCATGCAGGCGTCTATCGATGCGTACGCGGGCAAGCTGCACACCTTTACTCAGACCCGGTTGCTTCATCCAAGAAGCAGATACTGCATTGAGGACTGCAAGGTTAAAATGAGATCCTCACGCAGGGATGGACAAATACAAAGTGCTAATTAAATATCAAGAGGAGCCCTGGTGCGGGTGGATTACGCTGAGCGCTGCCAACCACAAGGCCAGCAGTTTGAAACCATCAGCTGCACTTCAGGAGAAAGAGGAGGCTTGCCATCTTGGAAGGAAGAAGTGGCAATCTTGGAAAGTCCTAGAGGCAGCTCTCCATGTCGGACAGGGACACATTCAGGCAGCATCCTTTCTGTTGGCTCTAGCTTCTCTATTCTCAACTTCCTCACTACACACATGGTCACAGATGGGGCCATATCATGTGTTTGCTCAAACACACTTCAACTTCACACACACACACACACACACACACACCCTGCCGATGGAACAGGACTCGCTGAGAGGTGCACATGGTTAGCAAGCTTGGTTGCCACACCACAGGTCGGGAGTCGGAATGCACCCAGAAGGACTTTGGAAGAAAAACCGGCTGATCTCCTCCAGATATCATCCGCCACTAAAAGACCTGGCCAGAGCATTATGCTACCCTGACATGTCTAGGGTCAGCCTAGGGGTGAGCTGAAGCGATGGCCATTGGTTAGAGGTTTGGTCACTTTCTCTCTCTCTTCTCCTCTTCCTTCGTCCACTTCCTCTTCTCTAGCTATGCAAGCTTTATGATCGTCACTAACTTCAGTGCTACCTGCCTCGACATACAAAATCTATGCACTGTTTTAGAGTGGTGGTTGCTGTAGAGGACAAGGGAGCTTGCTCGATGAGTGTTATTGGTGTGGTTTTAAACAGTGTTGGGCATCCCTCCTTGGGATCTAATCAGCCTTTTTGAGCCCTGCATCAGTATGAAACTTAGAGCTTTTCTCTCCTACAACGAAGATCTCTTTTTTCCACTGGGGGTATAAGGTATAGTCTTCCTGATGGGCATTCCTCTGATGCCCGTGCATGTTGACAGTTGACCCTTCAGTCTGGATTCCTTTGTTGGCCAAATGGCCTTGCTTTTAGTCACTGTCTTGGATGTTGTTGCTTTGTTTCTCAGGGCCAGGTGAGAAAGGAAGGGTCAAGAATGGTGAGACAAAAGGTCAACCACTTAAGGCCTCAGACCTAAGCCAGTTTACCATCTGCTTTTGTAAAAGAGTTTTGTTGGAACGCAGCCATGGCCCCTGGCTGCTGTTGCACTATGAGGCCACAGGATCGACTGACGAGGACACAGACCCCATGGCTGGCAGAGCTTCACATGTCACTGGGGAGCCCTTTCCAGACTGTTAGTGAAGACCGGCATGGCATCGGTTCACCTTTGCATCCCCCAGAGTGGACCCTGCCCATTGAGGGTGTTCAATAATGATTAGTCAACAGAAAAAGAACAATCCAATCACTGACCACTGCCCCAGAGGCAGTGCCCTCCATGCAGGTGAGGGGCAGGTCCACACTGGCTCCCGCGAGGATAAGCATTAAGAAGAATTAGAGTACTCTAAGCCTTTTCAAAGGACCCCAAGGAACATGGATCTTGTGGAACTAGGTATTAGTCACAAAATGAAACACTTGATTTGGGCTGGGTATGAAGTCCTTGGTGGGGGCTGTCCTGGGGGGTAGGTGGGCAGGGGGTGGGTGGTGGTAGGGGCTGAAATGACCTAGGCTGACTGGGTGGGAAAGTAAAGAAGAGCCGAGAAGGAAGCTGGGAGCCAAACATGAGGAGTCATAATAAACTACTATGAGGCTGTCACTTGGCCCAGGGTTTGATGTCCTATCGAGATTCTTCAGAAAATACAGTGTTGGTGTGCTTCGTTCCCATTCAGATGCTGAATTGGATTTTATAGCAACCCCCCTGAGACACGACCCCGGTCCTCAATACCGTTGTGGGGCACCAGACTTCCTCTATGGCAGCATTGCTAGCAATTCTCCAACACAAATGTGGGTCTTCTGGCATTATGGTTTCTATAAATGTTATTTCCAAAATTGCCTTTTCTGTGTAACAGCTTGACAGAAATTAAATACACACACACAGACATATATATCTTGGGCACTGTGGGTGGTATGCACTATTACTACAAAAATAGATAGAACATGGCACATCAACATTGGATTTTTAAATATACAAAACAAAGAAAAGGGGGAAGGGGAAGAAAAGGTCAATGTTTTTTGTTTGGCCATAAGTTCCTTTCCTGACTAAACATTACATGTTGTCTGGTTGATACCGCTTTATGTCGGAGGTCCTTGAAGAACAGGTAACGGTGAGTGACACTCACCCAGGTGTCATCTGGCCGGATCTCAGTGGCACTCTGAAACTCGGACTCTTCAAAGTCAATGAAAAGCCATTGCTATTACCAAAAAAAAAAAAGGAATGATCATGGTACTTTTTCTATAGCACCACATTTTAAAATTCTGACCTTACTTCTTTGTGTCTCTATCCACAGGCTTATTTAGAAAAGATAACTTCATCTCTGGTCATGTGTTGGGCTGCTTAGGAGATTTAAGTTCTTGAAAGAATTGGATTTTCCGTGTTAACACTTTTGCTATATCAAGACAAAACTACGCCGTGCAGCTGGTTCCTAGAAAGATCTCTACTGCACTCAGGCTTACAAACCGCATAAACGAATGTAAGTGCAAAAGGGAATGAATCGTGACCTGTCAGCAACGTTAGGACATGAACACATGCGTAGCCTTGTGATCAATCGGCAATGGGTTTAACTTAGAAAACTGAGATGAGGGAGGGAATGAAGGAGAACCCTAGAAAGAACTGATTCACATGGCACTTTCCGCCCATTGGCACAGAGGAGTCCTGCCTGCCAGGGTCTGTGTCCATGGAGGAGGGAGAGAACAGACCAACTCTCCAGCTAGTGGTCTGTGGCCCCTGGTGACCACAGGTTATCAGCAGAGACACAAATAATACACTGAAGTTGCAAATAAAGTCCTGGGTGTATCCTTACACTTTATGTTGCACTAGCTGCCGAAGTTCATTGTCTTAGCCTTGGCTCTCCCTTCTGGAGGCATTGCCTCATTTCCTTGAGGATTTCGATGTGCCTTTAAAACATGTCACCTTTATCACGGCTTCAATGTTTTCCAGGTATTAAAAAATGCAGCAAGGTAGGCAGTCGCTGGCCCAATGTTCCCAGGGGAGTCACTAGTGTGATTAGGAATAAATCCCTGAGCTGGGATTGTCGCTGGACCACATGCTGCTTGAGAATTAAATGCCAATCAATTTACATAAAGGCCAGATATTTTAATACCGATGCCAATGCTTCTGATCATCTAGTAGAGACATGAGAGTGAGATACCCTGCTGTTCTTTAGAAAGCGTGCTTTTTCTTCCCTCCATGCTTGCTACCATGACTTCAGGTCTCAGGGGGAGATTTAGTTCTGTCCAAAGAACTAATTTCATTAGGAATAGGAGAGAAATATACCGTGCATTGCTTAATCTACATATAAGTCAGCTTTTAACAATGGAGAGTCTCCATATAAAGTGAACAGGTTTCAATAATTTCCCAGGATTGACTCAGGATGTGGTTTAGCAGGCGAATTCTAGACAGAGACACATGAATGGATTCAGGCTCAGTAGATATCAAGTATAAGGCCTTGAGTACATGATTTGCTCTCCCTGACCTCTATTTCTTCATCCAGGCAATGGGAATAACATCACTACCCACTTCTAGTATGTGTGCAAATGGCATCGCATAATTTTTAATAGAATTACTTTCTCAATAAATAGCAATAATTGTTGCTAAAATAGAGAGATATGGAGGGGAAAGATAATACTGGTTATGACTAGCTGATTTAGAGTTAGAACAACCCCACATCTCCAAATTTGTTGTGCTGGAGTAATCACAGAGTAGGATCTGCCCCCAGGGAATAAAATGTTGGCAACATCTTCTTAATCTAAAAGGCAAGGAATTTGCTACATAATCTCTAATACCTTCAATAGAAAATTGTATGTCTATTGGAAGTGATTTTATAGAATAAAAATTACATAGTAAGAAGTTTTAATGTGCTATCAATTAAAAATGGTTTCATGAGCAATATATACAGTGCATTTCCAATCTCACAGAACACACATTTATTTGTATAAGGAAAGGACTAGAAAGATACATTGAAACATTATTGATGAGTATCTTTGATAGGTAAAAGCACTAACCAAAAAAAAAAAAGACCCAAACTCACTGCTATCAAGTGGATTTTAACTTATGGTGACCTTATAGGCTTGAGGATAAAATTGTCTATGCGGGAGTAGAAATCTTCATCTTCCTCTCTCGGGGCTGCTGGTGGTTTTGAACTGTTGACATTGTGGTTAGTACCTCAATGTATAACCAACTCACTACTCCACCAGGCTCCTAGGCAAAAGTCATGTTTCATTTTCTTCACATTGCCTTCCTTTAAATTTCCTACAATGAATATATATATTACTTTTATAATAAAAAAGTTAAGTATTTTTTTAAAAAGCAATAAAGAAAAATGAAACCATTTTCTGGGTGATATGTAGAAACATTTCTGGAAATAAAGAAAACAAAACATGGGAAACGATCCCAGGTTTTATGCCTCTACAGCTTTACAAGAAGTTCGATCCAGACCAGAAAATAAGGGAAAGTCAGTGTAGCCAGTCAAAAACCATGAACATTCCCACCTTCTCAGTTCATGGTATTTGCCACGCTCATGTGAGAGTCCAGCAAAAATCTCTCAGTCATGTTCTGGCCATTTTATGGTTTAGTGCCTATAGTTTTAAAGTGGAACAGTTGTTTATATTTGGCAACGTCCATTATGAAAAGAGCTTCAGGAAAAACAGCGGTGTGCCATCTTTGGTTTGTTTTGTTTTCCACGCACCCTCTGTTTGGGGCAGCAAGCAGAAACTGTCACTTTTGCTGGGGGTGGTGCCAGGAATCTGATTCACAACTTCTGAGTCAGCTCTCCCACCTCGCTCTCAATGTTCATGGCTCAGACTAACAAAGTCTGCACTTAGTCTAATTAACTGCTTCTTATTCCGTCCCCCCCCCCTTCCTCTTCTGTGTTGTTGCACTGCTTTTAATAAAAAGATGCTTTTGTGCGTTCACACTCCATTTGCAGTGGAGGGGATGCACAGGCTCTTACCTTGCCATTTGTCTTGTGGACTGGAAGTGCCAAATGGACGCAGGGAGCTATTTTCATTTCTCCTGGAGGTGGCTACAGGGTTTTGACAGTTCTCAAGGCATGGCTTGGAAAACGCCCCACATTCTGCGACCTCCTATGGGATGGAAATGAAAATCACATTCACTTTTTTCAAAAAAGAATGTTCCTGCTTGGTCAATTGAAGCAGAGCTAATACATGATGTGTTTTATGAAGAGATGATTTCAAGAATCTATTGCACATAAGTCTGCATCTGTGAAAAATCAAAATGGCCCTATTGGTTAAACATCTTTGAATCAGAAATTGAAAAAAAATAAAACAAGCCTGACAACGGGGTCCTAAAGATTGGGAATGAGGACACCCGGCACAAAGGAGCTTAACTTTGTCATTCTTTCTCCACTGACAACTAACTGGCTTCTTTCACATGTTCTGCCATCTGGGGGGCAGCCTGTGGCAGCGGCACCTCAAGAAGACACCAAATGCCAAGGGGCTTCGCTGCCAACCAGATGGCTGCGCTGCTGCTTTCTGTCTGTCTTGGTTACTAAGTGCAGGGGCTCAAAGACAAGTCAGAACCCAAGCAGTTTGGCCAGGCAGTGCCATGCCGGTGTCCCCTGCAGACACTGGCTCTTCTGGGCAACAGGTACAGCCAGCCGCATCCCTACCCAGTGCTTCCCCTAAGGCCTCCTTCTTCCCTCCTAATTGTATTCTGACAGTCTGCATACAATTTCACGGTTTACTTTAAATTGCTGTCTCTAAAATCACACCCTCCTCAGCCATGCTCCACAGGTGTTGAAGAGGTGTTCCATGCAGGATGATCATATCTAGCTGTTTTTTCTCGAGAACCCAGGCACAGAGAGCTGGGTTTTACTCTTGCTTGTCTCCTGATCTGAATTCAAGGAGGTGTCCATTTGGACGTCACTGCAAGGCTGCTACCTTGGGTCATTTGTGACTGGGGAAGGCCACACCCAGAAACACCGAGATGACGCACAAATGACTCTCCTTGTGATGAATGCATTGGATACTGTGATAGTTATGGTTTCTTGTGTCAACCTGGCCAATGAACACATGTGGGGTTAACTGAAGGGCAGAGGGATAAATGGCCCGGTGAGCCTTGCCTTTCTTGTTCTCAGGTCTCTTGATTTGTGATGGTTGGACCAGGGTGCAGCTGCCTTAGCCAGTTCCCTGTTTCAGCTGGCAAGGCTCACTTTCCTGCAAGACATCCCTGAGGAGAAGCCACATGGACCTACCCTGATGCAGCCCTGGGTGCTGGAGCAGCCCTGTGGAGACCTCTGCCAGCGCTGAGATGCTTACACATTCACTGATTCAGCTTTCCTCCTGCAGTCGGCATCATTGCATATGTTTTGTGAGATGGAGGAGGACTTTGTAGATCAATGTTGGACGTATGGGTTTGGACTGGACTGGGTTGGGATGCTTAATGTACAATTACCCTTTATATAAAGCTCTCATAAAATGAGTGTTTCTGAATTTTGCTTCTCTAGTCTCCCCAGACTGACTCAGGTAGACTGACTCCCCAGACTGACATCAATGCATTGGATATACCCTTTTAGTTACAAAAACTCAGTGTCCTGTTAGTTAAACATTCGATTTATACGTTCTTAATCGTTAGGGTGTTTTTCAGCAGCTAAGGGTCCTTTTGGCTTTGTGTCAAGGCTTAGAATACTCTCTCTACACCCATGGCCTGTATATTGCCAACCAGAGGAAGCCTAGTTCAGAGGTAAACCACTACTTTTCTGAAATAAAAACTGGAGTCCGGGTAGGCAGGAAAGTAGGACTTGCTTTGCATAGTCCTGTGCTTTGTGTTAACAACAACAACAACAACAACAACAAATTCTGCTTTCCCAGATCTTTGATAAATGACACAATCAATATCCCAACAACCGATCAGTAAGCAGCCTAATTAAAGTATTCAGCTTGTAAAATAGAGCTGTCAGGGAGCCCTCCATTAGTGTCCCAACCAATAAAAAATATAATGGATTTTTAAACATATTCTGCTACAGCAGGAGCTGCAGCAGGGAGGGACATGTTTTGGGGAAGGGAGAGAAGAAGGGGGGAAAAAACAAACCAGGTCATAACCCATTTTTTTTTTTAATACTGAGTCTCTAGTCTCAAATGGAATTACAATTGAACCTCAAGCTCATCCTTTGAAGAGAAAAAAAAATGTTTCTGTTTAAAATGATTCTGATTCAATCAAAGGCTCATTATGTATTCCTCACAAGGTCCTCATCAAAACTGTTTACGTATCTTGTACATCTGGGTAATGTGGAAAAAATTTTTTTTGGCTTTTCTTAAGTAGCTTCTTCAATTTTTCATATCAATATAATGTTCAAGTAACCATTTTTTGGTATCCTTGCCAAACTGAACAAATTGATTTGCCTGGAAGTCTGAGGGGCACTTTCCAGGTTCTGAGGGCTTTTATTTTTATCGTACTTAAGGGTGACTGCTCTTCCACAAGAGAATACGCCCCAAACATGAGCACACGACATATGCTTTGCCACAGTGCAACACAGATTTGGGAGATCCAACGCTGCAGAGTCCCCGCCCCGGCCCCATTTTAATAAAGATAAGCTGCATGTTAAGCTTCTGTCTGTATAAGAAGAAAATGCTCTTTAATCTTCATGGGTACCAAAGAGATTCTCAATAGCTGAGAGTCAAGTGCCTGCCCGGCCCCCATGGAAAGCATGTAAATATTAGGGAAAGTCAAAGTGGATCTTGTTTAAATGCGCTCATAAAAATTGCTTTGTGCCCCATTTCATATTCCTGATTGATCCTCTAGTGAACTAGACTAACATGACACTTCTGAGGCAAGGCAAAGAAGTGAACGTTTAGAAGTTTCTTGTGACAGAGCAATTGTCACTCTATTCCAGGATGAGATAATTCAAGTAAACATCCCTACAGTAACGAGAATGCAACCATAAAATGTCCCAATGGATGTACCAAAGTCCATCAGACCTCGGGAGAAATGAAATGAGGGAGGAGGACAGGAGGAGCAAGCTCGTTTTTTGTTTTTGTTTTGTTTTGTTTTCTTGTTTTCCCCTTTGTTATCTGCACCGGTGCAGTCGTGTAGAGCTGTGGTTTCCATGAGGCCTGGACTTTTCTATTAGCCGAGATGTTTCCGTTCAGTGAACTCTTAAGGGTGGTCCAAGATGCAGATGCAGAAAAGGGAGTGTCAGGGGCACACAGGTTACTTTTCACATCCCAAATTCCAAGCCCAGAAGCAAGTGTGGAGTCTTGGGACTCGAGTGAAATTTCCACTAGACTGGCACCCATTCTCCCCAGGTAGGGAGCAATAAATCAGGGCTTTGCAGCTATGTGCTTAAGTAAAGCCCATTAAATATTCATGGCAGACGCTCTGTCACTTAAGCAGAAGCAAATGTTGAAAACTACATTCCATTGTTATATATAGTCTCCAGTAATTGGCCAATTTACATTTATTTAACATCCACAAGGTTATGTATAGATGATTCTAAAGGTACAGTTCCTTCCTTCCGATAGGTGCTAATATAACAAAATGAAGCGTAGCTTATAATTCCTCCACTGATGTTTACCCTCTCGGATGAGGCAGGTCTCAGCTTCAACGTTTAATGATGCATTCAGAAGGGATCTGTTGTCTCTATGTACTGTGAAGAGCACAGCTAGAATGCCCTTAGGAACGAGGCTGGCGACACTTCAGTTGACCTACTTTGGACTTGCTCACAGGAAAGACCAGTCCTTGAGAAAAGGACATCCTGTTCGGTAAAGAGAGTCAGCCTAAACAGATACATTAACGAACAGACAAACGTCCCTGCCACCTGTGAGTATTGAAAACCCAACTCTGTGTGTGTGTATGTGGTTACATGACAAGAGAAGGCAAACCTGACATTTTAGCCCAACAAATGACAACCCTCCAAAGGATGGTAGGCATCCGATCACGCTTGGCTGGTGACCCAAAGGTGAGAAGGTGGAGGCCCTCACAGGTGCGAGGGAAGGAAGGCCTGGGGCCAGCTCTCTCTTACGAGGTGCGATTCGAATGCTTGGCCAGTCACCACGAAGCAGAATGGACACAACCCACACTGGCTAAGTCAAAACTCCAGCACTCTAGGTTTTCACAACCTTCACTGTTGCTTCATGTAATGTCTGCATTAAAGAAAAGAGTTTGTCTTAGTGTGTATGTCATATGATTGCATCTGAAGTTTTATCATGCTGCATTACGCAAGCATTTTTTTCCTTGCGAATATCTTTGTATAATATGCGTTTTGCCAAACTTTTTCTTTACACTCACTTGATCTTCTCATCTTCACCTGAAATAAATATTATGAATATTTTGTAATCATCCTTCAGAAATCAGATAAAAATTTTAGGAATATAGAACAATTCCACGTATAAGTGAAAGATATAGGGCTATTAATAGTTAGGGATTTTTTATGCTTCCTTTCATGTATGAGCGCACTATTCCTTACATTTAAAATATCCCCCCAAAACCATCATTAAAGATTTCAAAACTCAGACCCCGTTTCTTTAATAACATAAAGCAGCAGCTGGCGGAATGGGTCACATGTCAGCGGGCCGGACACCAGCTCTCCACTACCCATGCGTGGATTATGGAGGAGCAGCTACAGTTGACTGCATTATAATGAACTTTGCATTAAACATTAAACAATGTATACATTTGATTAAGCACTTCCAGAAGCATGGACACATTAACCAAAGGCAACAAAGCTGTTTATGAATAAGTCCAGCTCTCTAGGAATTTATGTGCGGAAAAATTTAAAATGACATCAACAAAATAACTGGGAGAAACAATTCCATTTGATAAATGACTTACTTTATATGCACATTTTGATATAGTCCATATCTACTTAAAATTGGCAACACCTGTTCCTCACATAAATCCATCTTCTGGAGCCTAGTTTCTGAATCACAAGATCAGTAGGACCCTCGCGCAACCTTAGTGATGGGTGTTTACAGACTCAGTGCCCAGGTGGACATCTTGCTGAGGGAAATCAGGGTTACATCACCTCTGCGGGTCTCTCCGGCCTCCTCAGAATCACCAACTGGATCATCCCTCGTATGTTTCCTTCCATGGACATCGATCGCCTAAGTGTTTCCATCGCTTCGTGGTTGGACTTTCCCAAAAGAGATTCCCCATTCACTGCAATCAGCTGGTCATTCACTCGCAGACGGCCGTCCTAAGACAGAGGAGAGGAAAACAATCGTCAACAGAGAGCAGCTTGGTGATGGCATGAGGCTGTTTCACGGCAAAGTTCAAGTTTTAAAAGGAAAAGAGAAGGAGCCCCACCACCAGCCCCACGAGAACATATTGCGATGAGGAATGATATCTTTCCAGCAGCAGCAGAAGGTTCCGGGGCTTCTCAAGCAAGTCACAAATGCTCACTGTCAGGGATGGTGTGAAAGGTACTTTTGAAAAACCCTTGAGTCCAGAGCTGCAAAAATCTAGACATTTGCCTAATGCCTCTTCCCTCAATCTTTGGCCAGCCTGCCAATCTAATCTACTTTGCTAAGCTCCCATTTGCTCTGGTGCAAACAACAGTGCTGGTTCCAGGGAAGAGTGCTGTTCAGGCAGGTGATCATAGTCCTTAAAATCGAGTTTGCATTTGGGGGCAGAGATTTTATGCTTCCATGTAGCTTGCCTGACAGTACTCGTGTGGCTCCTACATATAATTGCTAGCACTATTGAGGAGTGCTGAGGGGGGAAACATCTTCACCCTCTCAGGCACTTTTCTTTACCACAACCAGGCAGTAGCGAGTCTGCAAAGGAACGGAGAGAGGGGCAGGGAACGACCCATTGGCTCTGGGGTCTCCTGGCAGAAACAGTTGACAAAGGGGGTGTGTATTGGGAGGCTCTGCCTGAGGAACATCTTCGGGAAACAACACCTCATATCACCAAGCCCAAGGAGCCTGGCATCTTAGAGATGGGCAGAACTCCGATCGAAAGTACTTGGCACTTGCCACCTCCAGTCCACATCTCTCACAAACTGAGTCTAAGCACGAGCTCGGAAACTGGGTTGTCAGCTCTGCCTACAGAAGAACATGAAGGGTAGGGCTGTAGAGCATTTCCTCCCCAGGCATCCTGGGAAGATGGTCAACAAGGACAGTCAGACTGAGTCCACGCCCAGGATCTATTTGACACTCAGGACAAGGTTCTTGCTCTGAGAGACAGGTGGCAATGGGATTGTTAGGACTCTGCTGCCACCGGGGCCCCCAGCAGAAGTAAGAGTGGACGTGCACGGACACGGACCGTTCCAGAGTATGCATCGCTCTGTGAACTCTCTCCAGTGGCCGCCAGAGAAGGAAACGGAGACCATGGATGGCAGGTCATATGACTTGCCAGAAGCCACTGAAGGAAGTCAGCGGCAAACCTGACACAAGTTAGGGTTTCCTGGCGACGGACTCTTTGGCCAAACTCCCCGCTGGTGTTGGTGATCCCTAGACTGTAGTAGCACCCTACTGCAACAGCCGAGGCATATAGATCGCTTTTTCAATGAGAAATATCTGGGCTCCATGTCCAAATTAGCGGACTGGAGAAAAAGCAGAAGGGAGGAGAAAAAAACGCCGCCTAAGAAATGAGAAAGCCAGCCATCCAGTGGACAATAGAAGCCAAGCACACAGCTTCGGGAGTGCAATCCTGCGGCCAAGTGGATCCACTCTGAGCAATGCAGCAGCAGATGGTCAGAGGGAGTTGCTGTGGCATCTGCTGCAGAAGGTGTTGGCTACATCGCAGTGCAGATGCTCACACAAGGGCGTGAGCCCTCTTGGTGAAGAATGTGAGCTGGCGCAGCAGTTGAGGAGTGTCAAATCGAGAGATGACATGTCGAAGTGGAATGCTTCTATGGGCTGCATGCCCCTCCTCTCCCCACCCATTCCTCTTGTCTCCCCACTTCACTTAACCTTCACCCTAATTTAGAGCAAGCCTGGAAATGAGATTTACTGGAAAGGCCAACAAAGGTGTGTGTGGGGGGGGGCGTGGGGACAGAGTCTCTTAATGTCTGTTATCCAATTTTGAGTGAGGCCCCAGGAAGAAGAAGATTAAGGCGCACAAGGAAGGTGGAAGAACACGAGTCTTCATGGTTTAGTCCTGGGAAGTGAGACAGAGCTCAAGACATTATCTGTTCTAATATGGAAAAACATAACAAGAGGACCATTGGGCTGAATCTACAGGAGGTGGTGGGGCGGGTCTTTAGATACGTTTTAAGCTTGACTGGAGAGTGACGTGAGTCTTCAGAAGAGGAGGAAGTGTTGGCTCGAGGTCTGAGTATTGTTGATAGGAAATAAGATCTAGGGTGAGGACATGTAGAGGCTTAGGCTTTGCAGGACTCCTTAACCGCAATAATAATAATAAGATAAACCCTGGAATTGATGGATAACAATAGAGACCAGCCCCTGGAGAGGGGCATCATGCTTGATATAGTAGAGGGGGATTGAAAAAGGAAGGGCCTTGGCAAAATGGATCAACACAGTGGCTGCAGCAATGGGCTCAGACGTAAGAACAACTGTGAGGGTGGCACAGGGCCTGGCAGCGGTCCATTTTGTTGTGCATGGGGTCATTGTGAGCCGGAACGGGTTCCAGGAGACCTAACAACAATAATGACTAGAGATGGAGAATGGACTCTGAGAGAGAGCCCACCTGGTGACCGCGTAGGGATCGTCTGTGAAGTATGGGACAAGATCGTCAGAGTAAAGAGGCAGATGAGAGGTAAGAGATATGAGAATAACATCTTAATTTTATTTCTGGAAGAACGATCCCTTGGTAACACCGATTCAATACAAACTTATTTTCAGTTTGTACGCTCGTCATCTCAGGCATGCAAAATTACATTGCACTGCAACATGTTTGCTACATCCAAGTTCCAAACTAAGAGGCAAGCTGAGCCAACCCAGGGCAACTAAAAGGTTTTTTTAGAAGACATTCATATTCATCACAAGTGTCACTAGAGAGTTGTGGGCATGATAAAAACCCACACTTTCGTTTTCAGGCTTGGCCGGTCTGTGGCTGTTGGTGTGCACTTTTGCTTCCTAAGATAAATGATGGGTAATTCCATTAATGGTGATGCCAGTAAGCACCATGTTGTCCTAACAGTTAGAATATAATCATAGGATTTAAAGCTGGAAGGGTTCAGAGAGGTCATCCTATCTGCCTTCTTCTGCTTACAGATGAATAATAAGGCTCAGAGAAATTGAGAGGATGAGAAGCGATTTATCGAATACCTATTAGTAGAAGACACTTGCACACACATGAGAGTTTGCTTGGCTAGTTAAGGTCAGAGCTGGAATGGAAGCGCTCATGTCCTGACTTCCACAATATTCTGTTCATTAGGCCATTCCATCTTCTACAGAGATGACAATGACTAAGGCTCCAAGGGGTGACATTTTAAGAAAGACCTTCAAACCCAGAAGGTATAAATTGAATCCAAACATGTCTTTCAAGACACATTTAAGTGGAGTCCCCTCATCAGCTATAGACATGATAGAAGATTCATCTGTAAGAGATGACTGTACCATGAGATTGCAGAGCAAGGATGCAAGGTCGAGAAAGGGAAAAGTCCATCTACCAAGCTTTAGGAGCCCCGGTGGCTTAGTGGTTATGCAATGGACTGCTACCTTCAAGGTCAGCAGTTCAAACCCCCACGCTACTCTGAGAGAAAGATGAGGTTTTTTCTTTCCCTAAAGAATTATGGTCTCGGAAACCCTCAGGGGCAGTTCCACCCTACAGGATCGTTCTGATTTGGCATTGACTCTGTGGCAGAGATTGTGCTTTTTGGTACCTAGCTATATGTACACGCCTGTACGTTTTTTGTCTCTTGCTGGTGTAACATGAAACTAAAACAACGAAGCGTTCATCACCCAAGGTCAGCAATTATTCCTCAAACTTGCAATATTCTTTGTGCTTTAGAACCGTTATGAGCAAGAAAGTAGCCCTTTATTTCATATTAATATCATGTTCATGGAAATGCTTACACACGAGAAGATTAATTCCCACCCACTGATTTTTCATAGTAAATTCAATCTAGGAATGTTACTCTATAAGTCTAGGATACTTACTCTCTTCATTAAAATCTTGGGTCATGGTTCAATTGGTTAAAAAAAAAAATATATATATATATATATATTCATTTTCTTCCTACCTTGTATCAGTTCATACCCTTAAATAGAAAGACCCCCTAACTTATGTTCCTCACCTCTAGAACTCTCCATAGCAAACTCTTTCAAAGGTAGGAAGGGGTAAAGGTACTTTCCAATGAGGAAGAAAAGTGTTTTCAAAAGGAGAACAGAACGAGGAAATATAAAAAGAAACACCTCCCAGTCACTTTGAGACAAACATAAACTGGTACAAGAATTAGGTCTTTTCCCTGGGGGGACTTCAAGTCTCGTTAAACCTAACCTGATTCCAAAGCAGTCTATAGGGGAATCGACTAGGAGACAAGATGTTTGAGTACGACATCTTCCTTTTACAGAACACTTAGCCTATGCTAGGCTTTGAGCAGATATTTAGACTGCATTCTTCCATTAATTTCTTTAAAGAACCCCATGAAATAAATACTACTATCACTGAAGAGATGTAAACATGGAGGTTTGCAGAAATTAAGTGGTGTGGCTGAGGCTGGAGCCAAAGGTTCCAGCCATGGCCAAGTGTACTTATCTTTGCGGTCCATGATGTCATGTGGTTTCTACAATCAGCATGCTCGTGGTGATGAAAAGCACTATGTTTATTAATAACAGTACTTATTTCATGTTTTTTCTCTGGGAAGCCCATTGCATGAAACACTTTATGTGCAGTAGGCAATTGAGTCCTTAGGACAACCCTAATCGGCACCAAGACCCCTGTTTCATAAATTATCATTTGAAATTCAGGGAGGTAAGTGAATTGTTGTGTTATGTTTCTAAAAGCAGATATGAACCAGTGCTGTGCCTTTCTGGAATCCACGTTCTTAATCGCTTTGCTGATGATTATTAACCTCCCTGGAATCTCAGACCCCTTTAAGAATCTAGTACAGGAGACCAGCACCGACCTCAGGACGCCTCCAGAGAGGCAGGTTTGGGTTAGATCATCCTTTGCTGCTAGGACCTGCCATGGACACTATACGATTCTTAGGAGACTCTAGGGACTCTCTTCTTCCCTGGAAGTTAGTGGTGTGCTCCACTGTTCCCAACCCAGGTGGGATGATCATCA